GGGAAATATTGTCTAAGACTAACCTGATCTTATCATAAAGCTATAACTTAACAACTCTATATTGAATCAAGAAATATAAATAGACAATAACTTACTCGATCAGCTCGCAATTCTGACTGTTCAGGTAGAACCTACAAAACAAATGTATAAAACAGCTATGGAATTGTGACAGGAAATTCTTCAGAATGTCAATATTAAATGATTAAGTGACCCAACTAAATTAGGAAAGAGAAAAGCACACAAAACCATTGAGCTAGAGTTTTTCTTACCGATTTCATAGCCTACATAACATACATAGCAAAACACAAACCTAATGGAATATTCTAAAATAATCTGACAAAAATCAGATAACGATATGCCTTTATCTTGAAGTGTACACATCATCACTAATCCATTTTAACAAGTTACCTGACAGTATAGTAAGTAAAATAGCTGATTTTCTCTAGGTTATACAGTTGTAAACCAATTTATTGAAAGTAAACAACATAAGAAAACTATATACACCTAATTCATTAAAAGTAATAATAGTTTGTGATTAAATTAGGTAAGATTACAAATAAAAGTAAATTAGGTTGTGAATTATCACTGGCAATATAACTGAAATTAATCGACAGAGATATCATGCAACATAGTGAAGAAATGGTTACACATTAGAACACATTCGAAATTTATATTATTGTAGAATCGGAACTAACTTTTTGTTATTGATTTATACCTGTAAGTTGTTCCACTTTTCATCCAATTTCCTTCATTATACAAGGTAAAAGCTTAACAAGTCATCCAGCTATTTTGATTAGCGAAATCGTACACTTAATCAGTTAATGGAAACCGTATGCTTATAACCATTGAAATAACAACGCACGAATATGTGAGACTCTAAAACATAGAACACCCATGTCATTGAATACTTCATATTACAATCATTTACGGAACTGCTAACTACTTCTTAAGTTGATGATACTCTAACCGGAGCATCCATCTAACCTATAACCTAATATCTGAAGGTTGACTGTCTTGACAACTGAGTTATAATATTTTGGGTGATGTAATTACCTTGTCAGATCATGTTATATAACTAATACTTTAGATGCTTCTCTCTTGATTCACTTTATCAATTTACCGAATTCTTTTAATTCCTTTAAAATAATATAAAACTTACTGGACGCTGAAATATCACAGGCATATAGACAGATGGATAATCTCGTGAAAATTCAAATTTTACACTTAAAAATAAACGTCCACTAGCTCGTTTAGCTTCATCAACTGCATGTTCCACATCTGGCATACAATGTCGATCTAACGGTGTTTCAAATAATTCATTACGAAGATGTTTACGATTCATCTAATGGTAATTTGTAAAAGAACATTAGAAAAGTAACAATAACAAACAACTGGAGCAAAAAAACAATTTTCTTTAAATAAGAACATTCTTCAACTCAATATGATTGACACCATTTTACCTTAGTAAACATCTACAAAACATAATTACCTGATTACAAATATCTTAGTAACCTTATATGTAGCAGTAAATATGATTCATGCACGTGGATATACGTCATGTGGAAAGGTCTCTTAATGAATAAAAGGTTCAACACTTAAACACTAAGCTTCAGGTTCTAACCCAGCTTTAACTATTTCTGTTTGAGAAACTATGCAATATCACTAGCTCCTACACATGGAGTATGGATCGAAGTCATATATATATATATATTTTTTTTTTTTTGAGATGGTGGAGAAAACTTGTAGCTCAGGTGGATGATTGTGGTGGTGTTTCGTTCGCTGAGCTGGTTGTTTTGGTTGTGGAGCTTTCATTGTTCTTCTGAACAACATCATCATCACAAACTTCAGATAGAAATGAAAGCTCCACAACCAAAACATTCAGCTCAGAGAACGAAATACCACCACAATATATATATATATATATATATATATATATATATATATATATATAACTGGTTTTTCTCACTTTGATCATTCCTACTACTATATGTATTCCTTTCATATACAGCGTTTTCACAATACTTCTTCATGCTCATATCTTACAAAATTTGTTACGGATCAATGATAAATCTTAAAGACATATAGTAATAACGGCGCATATGTTTGTCTACCCAAGCTTCTTAACTGGAAGATTGGTGAAATTCTTCGTTTTTAAACCTCAGTAGGTGAAAAATTTAAATCTGAGTCAGTAGTTGAAAATTGATTATTTGTACTGGAGGATCATAGCTTGACAAGTATGTAAAGCCAGGATTACCAATCACGGTCTTAGAGCTTGTGGGAACAGGTATACTTCCTATTCAACATCCCATTCGAAAGACACGCTATAAACAGAATTCTGAAGTCACTTTATTACTCATCAAATCGGTCAAGGAAAATCCATCAACGAAGATTAGTAACTGCGTGTTTTTTGATATATATATTCATCAACATCGAATTCGGTTAAAAAGTAACGAAAACTTTAAAACTAACAGGCTTTTGAATGCTAACACAAATTACCAAGTCACGGGGCACTAAATTTACTAATCCACTTGTGGTTTAGACAACCGAATATTTACCGTTAGGCCATGGGTTCGAACCTCTATTTGTGCAAGCCGCTCACCAAATACATGCGTGTGTACAGGGCAATGACCCACAGTGGTTGTGTGATAGTGATACCATCACACTTTAAAACCGGACTGGCTGGAGTGGGCTTCGAGAATGTCATTTACCGGTTGAAAGCCAAGTGGTTCAACCAGTACGTCATCGTCTTCCGAACCTTAATTCAATATATTTGGAATCAAGAAAGTAATTAACGCCTACTGAATTCCATAGAATGGGATAAAAAAAGTGATCGCAAACATTTTATTTTTACTGTCACTGTAAAAGATGAAGAAACTAAATGAAAAACGTTACTATTATCACAAACTTTAAGTATTTGATTCATGGTATCCATATTCGAAGGTTTGGCATCAAACGTAGGTTCTTTAACTAATTTTTCAACATCCTCTAGTCGATAAACACCTAACGGTTCCAAAGGATGTAATTCAAGTTCGTAAATCCCTTGTCGAAATACTCTGAAAAAGATTTGAATGTTTAATATACGTGTATATATTCATACATTTTTGCGAAGTTTGCCAAGTAACTGACATAAAAATAAGCATAGCTATAGAGCATATAACATTTATGATCCTGAAGTTATATATTCGATTTAGACAAGTCAACTAAAATACCAATATGTTATATATATTATATCTACTAGATGTCGTAACTAGATAGTGGAGCGGTGGCTTAGCTAAGAAAACCACAGTTACATCCTGCTGCCACTACTCAGTTTTGGGAGATCGGGTACTACTGATGACCTTGATTTGAAATGTGGCTTAAAGTCGAATACACATGTATGTAATTGGTAACTAAGTTATATTCAATTTATCAACTAATTAACAATCAAATCAGATGAGTTGAATTAGAAACTATTACGTTTGAAATGAAACTTGAATCTCTGAACAATTGGAACATATTTATATCTAACTGACTGAATAAATAAATGGAGAATGATCTCTGGCTTAAATATAACTAATATTTGAACTGTTGACAAATCACATAGTGTTCCTATTATGGACTGAAGAAAAGCATAATTATTAAGTGAATGCTTTGCATAATGACTATCAAAGGGATTCAAACATCTAACCTGATAGTGAGAAATGCCATGTCTAGGTGGTCAAGCGACAGATGGAAAACTGATTATCGAATTACTTGGTTTAACGATCAGTTTGAGTCAACCATTGTAGTCATAGTGTAGTAAGTCGTATCCATTTGAACCATAAGCATTTAATCAAGATTACAATCGCATCGTGAATCACTATGACATACTGATACAAATTTATTGTATGAACCTTTTCTAACCTTAATCATGTTTGTTGATTATATTGTAAGCACGCAAGTCTATCATCATTCGCGTATATTATTCCATATATTTTCACAAATAAACTTTTGTTAATAGTTCACTTTTAACTTTCAACAATTTTCATTTGTGCTCACCGATACTCTATTTGGTTATCTATAATTCGTATATTATTCACTTTATATAAAGACCAGGTTATCAATGATTCACTAAGTAGGTCTTTAAGATTACTTGTATCTTCATCTATTCCCTATTTGTATTCACCAATTCATTTTGATTGCTCATATGTACATATCCTAATCACAATTCGCATTAGACTTTGTATGTTTACGTTTTATTAACTTGACTAGTCAACAGACGATTCATGAAGTCAAATAGATTATATGTTTCATTGGCATTATCATTATTCAGTCATATTGGAGTCAGACAGCCGGGAAACAACTAGTATAGTTTATTTACTTAAATATTTTAGCCCAGTTAATAAAACCATGCAGATAAATGGTAATTACTATTAACTTACTTTTTCGAATTATACAATTTCATGTTTGCACCAGCTATTAACTGTTCATGCATACCTTTTTTATCCGTATAAGTGGATGACAAAACAAAGCAAATGCCATTATAGTCGTATAAGGCGTTATATGGTAAAGGTAAATCGAAGGCTTCATTAAATCTAGAAAACAAAATGTATAGACTGGTATCATTTATCATACAATTTTCTATCAAGATTAACTTGTGTTTGAGACCAATTTGTAACAAATGAATTTGACAGGAAAGGGATATCACGTGTGATACAATAATTAATTCGTAATTCTCCATAACATGCGAGTGGTGTATATTCACCTTTGATGACTTTATATCGCTCAGCATTGAATCCAGTGATGCTCATTCTGTAAATTATTTGGTTAATAACAACAAAAACATTTTTTTTACATCTTAATACATGGATAAATAAGAGTTTGTTTTCGATCATCTGTTGAAGCTGATCCAGATGTTACCGTAGCTACCACATCACATGATGGATAATAACTCAATAATAACGATCCCATAAGATGTGAGAAGCAAAGGATCTAAAATTACGATTAAAAAATCATTAGTGTGCACAAGAAACTAAAGCAATTTGTTCATAAAAGTGAGTAACAAATTCAGGATCTGAATTCTTTAGTAAATTATATTTAGATATTATTATGATTGGAAGTGCAATACTACCAACATCATATCCGAGAATGAAAAGTATAATGAAACTTTATGAAATCTTAATGTCTTCATAGTTTCACTTATTGAGTTTCTGATTATTCACAAGAAAATCTGAAATTACAGAACTTTTCTGTTTTAAAGAGTGGTAATACGTTTTGCTGTTGGCGTAATATCACCTAGATAAACCAATATATACCTAGAAATAGAATAGGAGGATTAGTCAGTCAGTCAGTCAGATGCAACGTACAACTTCGTACGTAAGTATATCAGTTCATGTTGCCATACCACATCAGCACAGAGACGCCAGTGTCAATTCAAATCCAATAGTAGAAGAGGTAGCAAAGGTATTAGAAGTAATCGGAGAGGTTAGAATTAGAAGATATTATTCAAGAAGTATGATTCAGTGAGAAAAGTTTAGAAAGTCAAAACTAGAGGCGTTGAAGAACCCAGAAGATTAGGATTTGAGAGAACACAGAGAATAAATGCACCTGTGCCACTGCAAACAGTTTTGAGCCATGTCAATCAGGGTCTCTAACCATCGATTATTATCATCTCGCGGACCCCAACCAGGTAGTCGACAATTACCGACATGGCTCAGTCCACTCGTCAATGACTTCATGGATTTCTGCCATGTTTTGGTTTGGCCGCCCCTAGCTTTCTTCCAACCTATTCCTACACTACAAAACAAAGCTCGACGAGGGAGTCGCTGGTTAGGCATACGCAACACGTGTCCCAACCACCTCAAAACATATATTTCGATATAGATCAAGTTACGAGCAAATAAAATGATGGAAAAGACTTTCTGCCTTTTTCAATGACAGATGAGTAGTGCGCCTTAACCCATTTCATTTTGCTGTTAGTTTAAAATCAACTCATATAAACACTTAACATTTTTAACAACCTTTTACGAATGAATACCTTAATCGGACACATTAAAAAAGCCAAACCATTAGATACAGAATCAGCAGCTTAAAATTTAAGCGATCACCGTAAGCCGTTAGGGTTCTGAGTTTGATCCTAGATGGGATTGTAAACGTGAACTGCTGAGTCTCATACTAGATGAAACAACTGTTTAGCACCTCCTCGTTTTCAGTGGTTGTTTAGGATCAGTCCGTGGTGTAAACTACGAAAAATGAAATTTTCAAAGCCGATGGATTTGCTTAGATCATAAAAAAGTAAGTCACCGAAAATCCATGATGTAACTAATGCAACTTCAAATGAAAGTGCTGAGTTTTACGCCTAGTGTTGCTTCAGTTTTCATCACACTCTCTGGACAGAAATCTACACAATATAGTATAACAAGGTTATTCAGTCGAAACATGTTTATTCTGCTTGAGTAAACGTTCTTTCTAAGTTTTACATTTTTCTAAGGTAGTTTCCCTACAAATGACTTAGACAAACCATCAATATGATGGTTTTCCGACTCAAAATTTAATGAACCACTAAGGGCAACAAGCGGGACCATAAACAGTGTTCTAAACTGACTCCCTTTGGTCTGTAGATTATGTGAGACAAGTCGCAGCCTTGCTGGTAATATAAAGTATGCTCCTCCACAAAATTCCTCGTAATACATTAGGCTATAGAGTTGCCCCTATGGAGTAACTGCCGGTCGCAGGCCCAGATAAAAGTGGGTTGGGAGTGAAGTTAGCAAACTGATCCCATAGAAAATTCACTCGCTAAAAAACATTAACCAGAAAAAAATAATTTGAACATTAAAAACACAAAACAGTTAATTAATGTCCATGATCCGGTGTTGACAACGACCGAACTTTAGGACTTCATACGATCATTACGGCATAGCAGCAAATGGTAAGCTAATTGATGCACTAGGGGCCTAAAAAGTTGACAACCAAAACGCGGCCCAACACTAGTGACATAGCCTAAAAACGAACTGCTAGCGCAGAGAAGCCCACGTCAAAGTATAAGCCAAGACGAGTAGGAGTATTCAAGCTTAATAAGTCAGCCCTCTAACCCATTATCTACCGTAAACTAGAAGTCCTTAATATTTCAAAAACGTTCACACCAACGACTGTATTACAATCCACTAGTGAAATTATAGAGGCATTAGAAGCATAAGAACTACTAACAACATATCACACAAATTTTACGCAGTTACATTACGATTTTGTATTATAAATTCTTTGCGTTATACAGGATTAGATATGAAATTTACGTTAGTTATAGTATTCATTTCGTTATTGTAAAAAGTAGAGAAAACAATGAATTTCTCTAAATAATCTAAATAGACTGACGCGTAAAGTAATGATCAGGGACAAATGAAGAGAAACTAATTAGTGATATTTTAGTTTGAGCTTAGCTTTTGTTTTATTTTTCCCGATTTACAATGCTGGAACAAAACCAGTAAGTAGATTTCAATTAGAAAGCCGTACGATTGATTTTATCTTTACGTTAAATCGATTTCTCAGTTTACCTACCAGGAAAATAATAAACCCTAAAGCCTGATTTATTTTCGATAACTTCAGAAGTAAAACAGCTTTCTATGACAAGCGAAAATCAAATAAGTTTTCCTGTTTGACTACAATGCAATAACTTAACACAAGCGCTAACATTAATGCTTCCTTCTCAGACTCGTTTTTACCCTTAAAATAAGACACCTTATACAATGGGCGATACGAATATATAAGCATTAGCATGAGTTAAGTTTGAATATGACCTATGTTATAAAAGTTCCACAATAACCACACTACTTTTGTGGGCAGTAGCAAGTATCAACATCTATAAAGGTACAATGTGCTCCCAGTAAGGATTACTGTAAGAAATTCAGTACAAAGCCCACAGATCCAGAATTCGTGTCTCAGCTTGGCTCAGTTTATTAACAGTATTGGGAAGGTCTAAAGGGACAAAAACATAGAGGCACTGTCAAAACACCTAAAGTAACTAAATGTTACAGGATTTCCATATTCCCAAATGGCCCAATAACTACAGTAAGCGTGGCATGTAACTCTCGAGCTAAGTCGTGTTATAAAATGATTGCAGCATATATATATATATATATATATATATATATATATATATATATATATATGGAGCCTTTTTAACATAATTAAAACCACGTTTGACCACATTTATTCTGAAAAATGTGAAATATATTTAAAATAAATGACAGAGAGATCCAGCAACAAGGTTTCCAACTCTGTAAATCTGGAAGATTGTCTTACAGTGGTGGAGGTATTGTCTGAATAGGGAATGCCCTATCCATAAACACCGCTGATACAATACGCAAGTCCGCAATCAGAAGAGACTATGTTGATAATGGGTCCTGGAAATCCGCCTAAGTGACCTAGAAAATCTTGATTCTAAACCAAATCTGTACGTGATTCCCGTGATCTAGAAAGAACAAGTAGAGTATTAACCTAATACTGTTCACCGTCTACAATGAGACTGCATCTCCTGACGAACCACTGCGATGTATACTACAGCTCCTGCACAAAATGGCGAAGAGTAGCTTCTCAGAAAACCGGTTACTTCAGCTAAAGCATTATCCCGTTTAACATGTCGTTTTTAGTGTATTGATTATTATGGCCATTTATAAAGTGATAGCGTATTGCCTCAGGTAACTCCAGGGCCTACAAATCAAACTGGTAGTTAGCATTATGAGCAGAAAAAGCGATAAGGGTTTGCTAGACGACCTTACAAACGACTCATTTAGTACAAAACTCCCGATAATTTTCCGGGGAGTTACGGAACACACTTCATAATAAAAAAAGACACAATACACAGTAATTATTCACATCTCCAATAGGTTGTGATCTTAGAGAACGAGTGAGTGATTTTACAAAATATAATTTGAAAAAACTTGATTTACTTGTATTCGTTAATAGCGCTTTATATTATACAAATAACTCAGCTGCAAAGTATCAGTTATTTAAACTGTGCGAATAACCTTGGAAGAGGACATCCAAGGTCAGGAAACGCACGATTTCAGAGAACGCACTTCTTTAATGTGAACGTAATCTTCACACTTTGCGACGATTTCTAAGTTCTATTTAAAATCATTGACGAATAAACAATTTTATAGAGTGATTAGAGAAATTTTTGACAAAAAACTAAAGGTAGAGTGGCGCGATTGTACCAATAAGAATTTCTGAAGCCAGGAATTGTTTAGGCTTGTTAAACCATTATTAGACTGAGTGAACTTTTTTCTGGATCACAAGATACAGCTTTCCCAAAATCCATTATTAACGGTTAACGCTATAGGTAATTAGGTGTCATTTTTCGATATCGATAAAATTATTTTTAAATATGATACTATTCCTCCTCTACTGTGAATAATCACCTTGTGAATTCTGAATCGGATGTTCTTCCCTATAAATGGACATCCTTCTACACCAGAAATGGGCCAAAGCAATTAGATCAAGCATAAAGTCCCATCATGTATGTCAGAATTCCAAGACCATTCGAAAACAAAGTGTTCTGCTGACCACTTTTCTGCCCATATTCTGTGGGAATCAGTAGATTTCAAGATTCAAATCCCTGAAAGCCATCCAAGGTTCCTAACTACATAAGAACATTTTCAAACTTCAATCTCTCCACAAGAGACTAATAGGGCAAGATGTGAATGTGTAGTAGAATACTTTTATAAAAAGAACGTGGTTCATTAGAAATATTCATTATTACAACCAGTTGTATCAGTGATTGTGAGTTGTTCTTTTTGTCTATTTCACTTTGTACGCGAAAAGTTTAGGTTTTTCTTTTTCCCATTTTCGCTCCTTCGTCTTTGTAATTTCTCCTAACTTTTCTTGCACAATTTCGGTACTCTTTCGATACCACGAAATCGCCAGGAAAAATATTCTTTAAAATGGAATATCCTATCTTCTCCTTGATGGGCCCGTAACTGCTGTAGTGGGGATCATAGTCAATAGCGACCCGATCACTACTACAAATTTCTGAAACATGAATTACTTTGGCAGTGTTTAGTAGAGTGTCGGTATGTTAGTTGTTGAAAAGTGCTAATTTTAAGATTTTAATATGTCTGGTCTCATCTCAAACCCACTTGTTAAGTCCTATTGAAGAGGAAAATTATAAGTATTAGAAATTGAACATTAGGAAAATGCTAGGTCTTGCTCCGCTATTCGGTTCAAGCTTTCGCAAAGATATTTTTCTAGGAAAAAGCACGGATCAGATTACCGATCGAGGCTCTGAATTTACTGAGGGTTCAATCTCCTTCTGATCTTCAGGCTTTCTCATGAAGGATGCATCAGTGAGTGTTACCAATGTAAATTCTCTTGGGAAATCCCATATTTCGCTGATAAATCGTGCCAAAAGTTTGCACTAAGTTCTCCATGACTTCTACAGATAATTGAAGTTTTTGCGGATATTCAGAGTTATACATTATGGAGTCGGGATGAAACGGGCTGAGGATTTACTAATGAGATGATCTGTATATCAGGAAACGTGCGGTCAAACCTGGCAGTTGTTTGAGGGATGCATACCTCGTGGTGATCTGATGAATATTCTAGGCCGAGATCCTTCAGCTAATGGAATCCATTTGCGAAACCATTTATTTTGAGACTCTGTTTACCGCTACGGTTCACTCCTCTCATGGAGATGGCGATGATCCTGAAATGCAACCAGCCTGAACCCCGAAACCAATTGCACGACGTTGGTGAAAACTATTAATAGCTTGGTAAGTCATAATAAGTCTGGTCATTTTTTCTTACTTCAGGGAGTTATATGGGAATTAACAACAGCTAAAATTGATCAATGAACCGCTCGATTCTTTGTATTCATCACTTGCTCATCGACTTTCCGAGTCATCCTAGAAAAGTATATAATGAAAGGAATGGAGTACGTCGAAAAGGCTTTAATAACTATTCAAATGAGCGAAACGTGCAAAAAATCTGGTACATATGCGTGGCGCAGTGAATAATCTAAGAGTACCTCCGTGGCATTTTATCAGACCGTTTTATTATTCCTTTGCCCTTTTATTTTGTTTTGTGTTTAACTCAAGACACTGACGATGTTTTTTAATTCTCCGTCATTAGTACTCGAATTTATTTATGGTTTACTTTAAGAATTTTAATCTTACGTTTACTTGATATAAAGAGATTGAACGAGTGTTTGACTAAACATAAGGTTAGGATCGAATGTTGATAATCTGATCGTTACAATATGCGTATATATATACTGCGATAGCGAGAATACTAGGGACCAACGGATTATTTATTTTTTTTCAAATCTAATATCTTTGAGTATATTAGTAACACTTGAATTTTTTATTTTAATAAAATGTACGTACAGACTTACTGTTTTCAACACAATAAAAAAAATGGCAAGGAGTTTAACCAGACCCATTTTGTATGTAAGCCTATTAGTGTGAGAGTTTCGATAAATTTTCAATGAAGAAAATGAATGACCGATGGGATCATCCTATCGTGCTGTAAATCAGTTCCGCTGCAGTGCATCCTACGTTGGCTTTCATGGAATTGCGACTTCCACCCAACGCCAGTGAGGGAGCGCTAATCCAACACACAAAAAGCACAGCTAAAAAATTACTAGTACAGTTGGTTATAATAATGAATGTTTCTATTAAACCAACTGCGTTCTCTTCATGAAAGTGGATTCACTACAGGATACTCACGCACACATGTATTTCGTAGCGAAAAGTTGCCACAATCGATAACTGAGGACAAGAACACAGCTTATTGATGATTTTTCGGACATCAAATGAGAAGCGAGAGAAGACAGTCTATAACTAACTCACATTTCACAACCCACAAAAAATGCAATCTTATGACTAAAGACTAAGTGAACACATTTTTCAGCAATCTGCGTTTTAATCAAACAGACATATACGTCCAACCTAGACTTGAATTTTCGCTAAATTATGACAGTTTTTATCGCATTTTGGTATGTTGGTAGATTCAGGGTATTGAAGGACTAAATGCAGAAAATGTCGGAAATCTTATTAATTATTGTTCCTACACAATGGGCGCATTACTTCCCGCTGATTCCCTTTGTTTGATGCCTATGTATGCGTTATATCTGGACATATGGAACAATGAATTTGACTAGATGACGATATTAATAAAAAATGCAGAAGAATAGGTAAAAAACAAGATAGAAAACACAAATGTCAGAGACTGGAGGTTCCTAACTACGGAAACTGCAAACTTTACAACTTTCACAGAAGATTGATAGATTAAGCTACTGAATATTACCAAGTAGTATAGTGTGGTACATAAAAACAATCAAACGGGGAAAAATTAAGTCAGCGAGTACAAAACATTTTCAACATTATCTTTAATTTTTTTCTTAAGTTACCAAACTTTGTTTAGGAAATGTATCAGAATTTTAGCTTAAATCACATCAAGTGTTACCTGCACTAGTTTTATTCAACGTCATAAATGAGATCTGACTAGACCAATGAAATTTCTATTCAACCAATGACAGGTTTCAGGAATACATGGATGGGTATAAAGTTTGACATATGACTAAGACCTCAATCAAGAAAACCATAATACACGAAGATTTAACAAAGACAGTAAAAAAATTTAAAGAAAGAATATGTGTTTGCAAGTAAATCGTATTGATATTTTTTTATTTGGTTAAAAATCTGATTATGAATTCAGACATATATTCGCTTAAAGTATCGACATATTAATAAGACCTTTTGTAAAGTCTGAACACTAGATTGTTCTAAACTGTTCTACTGCGATATTTGTTATTTCTATATTGTAAATTGGAAGAAATGTATGAAAAAAATTCATGATGATTTTTATAAGAGTAGAAATGTACATTTAACTCCGCCAGTAGAACCTTAGGGGCTACTGCCGGTCCCAAGCCCGGATAAAGGTCGAGTGTTTGGCATAGCATTGGGGACCCAATTCTATCAAAAACAAACTTGCCGAAAAAACGCTAACCAGAGAAAATAATTCAAACCATTTTAACTCTGCCCTGGCAGTTGGAAGAAGAATTATGACGTCATGTGATGAAAGCCGAATTCCCTCAGAAGTCACGGGGCCGATGCCTCTTCTGACAACCAGAGCAACCATTTTTTTAGGTACATGGAACGTTCGTACATTGTGGGAGACTGGAAGACTATTTCAAGTTGCGGCAGAAATGAAAAGATACAACCTCGAGGTGCTCGGCATCAGTGAAACACATTGGACACAGGTAGGACAACTGAGACTTGCTTCAGGGGAACTGCTGTTATACTCTGGTCATGAAGAGGAAAACTGCTTCACATACACAACGGAGTTGCATTGATGCTGTCCAAACATGCACAAAAGGCACTAATAGGATGGGAATCTCATGGACCCAGGATCATTAAAGCATCCTTCAAAACAAAGAAAGAGGACATTACAATGAACGTCATCCAATGTTATGCACCTACCAATGACTACAATGACGACGTTAAAGATCAATTCTACGAAAGGCTGCAGTCAATCGTCGAGAAATGTTCACCAAAGGATTTGACGATTCTTATGGGAGACCTGAATGCCAAGGTTGGAATGGACAACACTGGATATGAAGACATAATGGGACGACATGGACTGGGAGAAAGAAACGAAAACGGTGAGAGATTTGCAAACCTATGTGCCTTCAACAAACTGGTCATCGGTGGAACAATATTCCCGCACAAACGCATTCACAAAGCCACATGGATTTCACCGGATCACACCAAATCGACCATATCTGCATCAACAAAAAGTTCGGAAGGACAATAGAGGACGTGAGAACCAAGAGACGAGCTGATATAGCTTCAGATCAACACTTGATGGTCACCCAAATGAAACTGAAACTTAAGAGGCGCCGGACGACGGGGCGGATGACATCAGAAAGTTTAATGCGGCCTTTATTTCGGACACTGGAAAGCTCAACGGCTCCCGGGCTTTACACGATCTACTCGATGGAGAGGAAACAGTCATGGAGAACAATTGGATAAAGATCAAGGAG